ACTTTGATTTGAAATTCATCCTGATGACTTGGCTATCCACTGCTTACCAAAACTTCTCTGATGATGTGTGAAGGATATAGGATACAAGCAAGTAATTACGTATTAGCGAATAAAACCATTGCTTCGCTCTCTTACGCATTACATTTTATTTTTTGCTTTGAAAATATTGTTTTTACCACACGGTCTATTGACCCGTATCTCTTCCCTTAGTGAGACTAGCTCTCTTTTCTTCGTTCTGCTGTCACATTTAATGGTACCAACTTTGTTTTTTGGTTTTCAATTTCTTGTGGACTCTCACAATAATATCTTTCATCTTGACATAACTTAAGACAACAATGACACCATGACAATCATTTGATTACGCTGCACTTACTTGATTACTTAATATTTTTGAAATTTTAGTTGTCTAAATTGTCACGTGTCAGGATTTAACTTAGAAAATGTGGGACTTTTTAATTCCATCTACTTTCAAGAGAGTAATATTTCCTGTGCTTACTATGAGTAATATTTCATTTTCTCTTAAAAAAAAAAGTGCTATGCAGATCCAAGAATTTTATAGTGCTCTATGAGGCAAATGGAAGGAATTATTTTAATGCTATTCCATCATGATTAACCCAAATATTTGTCAAAACCAAATAAAGAATTTTTTATTATTAAATTTTTCTTCAGTCTGCACCCTTCTTGATGAAATGTGTAGTCTTAGTTCATGGCCAATTTCATAGCGCCTTATTTTGCCACTTCTCTCTCTTAAGTTTTTAAGATCACTAAGTTTTCCATTACTTAATCTCATCTCCCGATCAATTAGCTTTGTTTGTTGTCGGTAAGTGTCGTCAGAGCAATTATAAATGTGGTGGTAGGATTAATGGTGGTCGTGTCCAGGATACTTTCACATTTTGCCAACGTTACACCTAATTAATTGTTATCCTAAATATTATTGGTAGAAATTCAAATATCCTTTCACTGTTTAGCATAAACCTTCACATATTGTCCTACTCTAACTACTCCTAGTGCGTTTTTTCTAATTGGTACTTCACAGCAATAATAGACATTAATCTCTGCTGCTTATGTTGTCTGATTCTCTAGATTCTTTCAGTTTTCTTTACTAATATATTCTAGTTTTAAGTTTAGGCATCTCTTTTCATTTAACAAATAACCTCGACCTTCTTCTCCTCACTTGTCCTCTTTACTAATTGTGGTTGCCGTGAATGGGTCCATTTCTGCACCTAGAAAGGGTGCTCTACATCTCTCTAAAATTTTCTTTTAAGAGTTTGCTGTGCTCTGTATTTTTTCTATTAATTTTTAATTTATTCAAAATAAGACTGAGTTTGTTAATCTTTCGATAGCATATTTTTGGTTCATATTTTGGGAAAGATGACTGTTGGAGGTGTTGAAGATGTCCCATCTACCATTTGACCGCTGCTGCTCCTATCCTCTATTCTGCCTTGACATTGTCAATTGAGTCATCCTCCTCTTGACAATCTTCATTAATATTTTTATATCTCATTGCTCTTTGAGTTTAGATTGTCCTACATAGTAATCACCATCGTGTGTCATTTCCTTTTTATGATTTTAGCTATTAACATTGCCCTTTTGATATTGTCCACTTAGACAACTGGTACTATATTTAAATGGCTAATTTAGTTTTCATACTATTTAGAAAACATCTAAAATGGTATCTCGATTGGACTGTTTTAGTTCTCATTTAAGAGTGTGTGGACTATTTTAGTATCTATTTAAGTAGTCTAGGCACTAAATTAGCCTTCTACCGCAAATAATTGTGGATTTTTCTATTCTTTTCTCACTCCGTCTTCTTCTCACAGTTGTTATCAATCAAGGTTGGACTCTACTACAAAGTGATGTGAGTAATGCCTTCTTTTATGACAATCTTTAGTAGAGTATTTATATATAGCAAACTCTTTTGGTATTTTGGCGGGAGAAATTGTTTATGCTTACATAGGAAGAATAACTTTGGCATTAAGTAGAGTCCATTGGTCTGGTTTAACAAATTCTATAATTTCCTTGTTAATTTTGGTCATTTAAGTAACTCATAAAATCTTGTTATCTATTTTAGTCATACTATCTACAACTCTTGTCATCTCTTCCTATATGCACATGCTTGGGGCAAATGAGCATAGGTTAATTTGTAGATATCCAATTCTTATACATTACGGGAACTAATCAACACATATATCCATGGCGCACAAATATCATATGCATTCATGACAAACTTCTCTTATTATTTCTCATGGTTGTTTTCAAAACTTTCTGCACTTCTGCACTAGTTTCATATAATCCAGAGATCAATTTGATATTATAGTTTTAATACTCTATATTTAATACGAGTGAAGGGAGTCTCTAAAATTTGAATATTTTGATCTTAGATCTTTTTGTGAAACCTATATTTATTTCTTATCAAATTCTTGTGGATTATATAAAATTCTTATGTAAGGTTGCATGAAGTTTTGAAGATGAACATGAGCATTTGTTAATCATAGAGAAGCTTGTCATAGATGCATGTAGTATTTGTAATTTATATGATTTAGGTTACCATTGATTCCTATAACATATATGGCAATTTATAAGTTTCCCTGCTCTTATGTCCCCCAACACTTGTAAATGAAGATATGATCAAGAGAGCAAGAGAGATAAAGGGTTATGAGTGAGATGGAGGGTGAAAATAAATTGCTAAAAATAGTATTTTAGTTTTTGGCTGTAAAAAACGTTGAATTGATTAAAGAAGAGATGCAAAACATGTTATCCATTTTACATCATTGATATATTTAATCTCTTAGGCCATTCGTCTTGGTGATAAATTACATAGCATGACTTTATTTAGTGTTTTATATTTTCTATGATTATCTCCCTACACTATCCTCCTCCGATCTTATATCATTTTCTACCCACTATCATAAAAAATTTCAATAACATAATGACAATTATCATGACGATCAAATTTTAAATCCATTTCTTAAAAGTTATATGATAATTATACAACAATGTATAACAATATATATGAGTTAAAATAATTCCAATAATCCAAAATATGGAGTGAACCTATGAAAGTCGCCCTCACTCCATTTAAATATTACATTCATAATCAAATGAACCAATTTTTTCTACTCCTCTTGATCAAATGTTCAGGTAACTGTATATATTCAGATAAGTTAGGTTGGGTTATTTCTTTCTTCTAGAAAGCATACAAACTACTCGAATAGCCAAAAAACAAGTCGGCATGGTATTGTTCTATTGGGCAATAAAAATAAAATCAATATCCAAAACCTGAATATCAATATGCTCTTTTCAATTCTCACGATTTACATTTCTGATGAGCATAAAATTTAAAATTTGGATAAATTGGATTGCAAGATAAATGAATGGTGCAGAGGACAACAAAACATATGACTAGTCCTCATATTATTGTTCTGCTCTAATGAGTTTCTCATATAGAGATGTTTGTTAATTAACTTATAGAGAAGGGAATAAATGCATTTCCTCACTAGAAATTGACAAGCTAAATCCTCCCTTGCTCCCTGCGCCTAGCTTCCCCCTTTTTACGTCTCTATAAGGGAATCTTTGCTGATTTCAACCTTTAACAGTTTCTTAAATGTGAGAAGAAAATGAGGAGATGTCACAAAAATGGGGGCTTTGCATCAGACTGGAATTTATTTCATTAATTGACGGATTTTTGGCTGATATTATCTGTTGGTAATAAGTAAGCTTTCTAGCTTATTTGTCACCACAAAATCATCGGCCGAAATATTACCAAAAAAATTTCTCCTCAATTATTATATTGGAGGATGTTTGGCGACCCCTAAGTTGTGGGATTTTTCCTTGGATTTAATTGACGAAAGTTTGTACTGGTGAGTTTTGTCAGTAATTCACTGTTTTTCCTGTGATGACTGCTTATGTTCTTAGCTTGAAACAAGTGGTGTTTATCCTTTTTAAAGCTGTCATTTACTGTTTTCTCACGTATTTACTTTGGCTGAAGCTAATAAATATGTATGCTCTAGCTTGAGGGGGAAGTGTTGGAATATTTTGTATTTTTTTAAATTATTGTTAGAAATATTTTTTTTGAGAGAATTTTAGATTTCGGGAAGATGAATTTGTATCTTCATAAATTATGATTATGGACTCCTTTTTTAGTCAGTATGATATACCATATTCTTCCTTCTCAATTCCTATATTTGTTTAGCATCTTAGACTGCTTTAAAGCTTGAGTTTTGTTTTATTTATTATTATTATTTTTTTGTGCAAGGCTGTAATTTATATTACTTGTAAATCATGTATAGAACTAACGAAACATAAATACAAGCTTTGAAGGATTTAATGATCGAAAGTTTCTACCATTGAGTTTTGTCTGTAATTCGCTATTTTCTTGTGATGACTCCTTATGTTTTTAGCTTGAAACACGTGGTGTTTATTCTTTTTAAAGCTCTACATCATGTCCTGTTTTCTTACCTATCTACTTTAGCTGAAGCTAATAAATGTGTATGTTCTAGCTTGAGGGGAAGTGTCGGAAGATGATGTATTTTTGAAACTTATTGTTAGAAAGAATTTTTTGAGAGAAATTTAAATTTGCAGAAGATAAATTTATATCCTCATAAATTATGATTATTGACTCCTTTTTTAGTTAATATGATGTATCATATTCTTCCTAAACTCCTATATTTGTTTAGCATATTAGACTACTTTAAAGCTTGAGTTTTGTTTTATATTTTTTTATTATGATTAGTTTTTTTTTTTTTCAATACTGTAATTTATATTACTTGTAATTCCTGTATAAAATTAACAAAACATAAATACAAGCTTTGAAGGTGCTTACAACCTTGCCTAGATGAAGTTATTTGTTCTTTCATTGTTTATGTGCATTAAGTCCATTTGTTTAAGGGCTGTTTCATTAATTTTTTTTTCTCTAGGCAAATATACTAAGGTCATATTAAAAATATTGGCAAAATCATACACAGAGCAGATTTGTAATCATTCATCTTATTTTTGGCAAGGCAATTGCAGATGCTTGCAAAGCCTCTCAAACCATCACTACAGATCTACATGAATCTGAGGTGCCTACTGAATCTGAAGTACAATTTGACGAGGAGCAGGAACTGCAACAAATTATTGATGGGAAAGTGTGCATGAAAATTTATGATTTTGGTTCTGGTACTTACGAAGTGATTTATATTGGTTAATTTGGATGTGAGAGTCATCAAATACATTTGTAACGTCTACAAATGGTGCATTTGAATTGTCAGATAAAAATGCAACTTCTGAGAGGAAGATCATTTTATCAGGTTCATTTAACCCCTTACATGATGGACATCTAAGACTAATTGATATTGCATCAAGGTATTGAAGCTTTTAGAGTGCTTTTTTTTGTAATTTATGTTCTTTTTACTAGTCATAAAGAAACTGTGAAATTGTAGTACAATGACTAGCCTTACATGCTTCTTCTCATAATCATTCATAAACTATGAGGAATTTACTTGGAAAGTTGGGAAAGTAAAACGAGCGAGAACTATGGTCACTCTTGTTAAATAAAACACACTTCATAACCAAGTTCAGTGTGGCGAGTTGTGAAAGAATAATGCTCATCAATATAGAGATGGCAATCAAAATTGAACCAAAATTTATCATGGTTAAACTACTTTTCAATACAAAAGCTTTAGCTCATGGTGAGAGGCTAAACCCTTGATCATTCCACATCGAAATGTTTTTTTCCCACTGTCATATCCCTTAGCAATCTCCCTTTCATGTGTGAAACTTCTAACTTTTCACATTCTCTATCGCTTCCCCTCAAATGATAGTTAAACATGCGTCAACATAATGTGTCATGCACCAACAGCCCACTTACTCATATGGAGCCGGTGTGTTAGTTGTATGCTCTTAAACTTTGCTTGGCCATTATAAAGGTATCCAAGAGATATGGCTTCCACAGTCCATATGAACCATTTAATCTCATTTGGAACGTCAGCTTTGATAGCAGTTTATTCAAAATTGGGCTAACGACAAAATTGGTTTTGATTTACTAGCAGTCAATTCATTTTAAACGAAAAGATTAAGCTTATAGGTGAGGAGCTGGCAATTTTTATGTATTTTTATGCCGGCATATTTTTCAACGATTTGATCTTGGACTGAGCCCTACCTTCATTGGCATTAACATTCCCATCATGCATCTTTAGGTTATAATGTTAAAACCAACCGGCTTGCACAATAAATTATTTCCCATAAAAAATAAATTCTAGCACATAAAAGCTAAGAATAATTCCTCTTTAGGTCACATTACCTAGAAAAGTTGAATATTGATCATAGGGCACCATAGTTATGGCGCATTTGTACTTTAACATGCACTTAGGAGATTTAAGTGTATTTTTTTATTTCAAGTGTGTTTACATGTTATAAATGGTCTTATATATATATATATATATATATATAGGTGTGTTATGATGCAATTAGATTTAATGAGGATTATATCAATCCTTGCTCGCTCTCTCTCCTCCCTAGTCCTTACTAATTCTAAACCTTAATTTTTCTCTCCTCTTTTCTTCACTTGCTAAGTGAAATTCCCTTTCACATTCTCATTCAAGTCTCTTCGACTACTTCCTCCCCCAACACCAAATCCAACTCCTCTCTTTCTTCCAAACCTCAACTTCACCAACTGCCACTATTCCTCTCCATCTAATCCTAAACTAACAAAATTCTTCCTTCCAACTGCAAAATTCAAATCCAAATAAAGAACATCATTATCAATGGAGATCCATGACCACGTCCACTTCTATTGGAGGTTTTTGGATAGAGCAAAGAAGCCTATAGATGTAGTTCTATTCCGCTTACATCAAATCATGGTTACCATATTGTTGTACCCGTATTTTCTTATCCATTTTACAATATAAGTCTAGGCATAGTTTTTCAAATTAAGGATTTTTGGTTGAAGTGCCGGAGTGCCGGAGTGCCAGAGTGCCGGAGTGCTTTAGGACTGATATATGATAAATGATCACGAATGCCGGAGTGCTGAAGTGCTTTAGGACTGATATATGATAAATGATCACGATAAAGACTTATAGGTGAATGAGATATTTTAATAATTTTTTCAATGAAGATTTTGAAAATACGATCGAATTTAATAATCTTAAAGTCATAAATAATAAGAAAATTTTTTATTTCTATCATCAAATTAGTAAAATAGAAGTTAATGCGACTTCAATGAAAATGAAGCGTGGAAAAGCAGTGGGACCTGATCTTATTCCAATAAAATATGAAAATGTTTAGGATATCTGGGAATTTTTCAGCTTATTAAGCTTTTAATATTATTTTAAAAATGAAAAGATGTCCAACGAGTGGAGCAAAAGTCTATTAATTTCTACTTTTAAGAATAAAGGTGATGCACAAGAGTTTGCAAATTATAAATGAATTAAGTTATGGGAAATAATAATTAAACATAGGTTACTATGTGATACAAAAATTTCTTAAAGTCAATCTGAATTCTTTCTTCAAATTACTTATGATTTTTGTTGATTTAGAGAAAGCTTATGATAAGGTCCAAAGAGAAGTACTTTAGATAATTATAGAAAAGAAATGTGTTGATATTATTTATATTCAAGTCATTAAAGATATGTATACTAGAGTTGTTACTTGTGTTCGAACACAAGGAAGATTGACCAAGTATTTTTCTATTTCAGTTGGATTACATCAGAGATCTGTTTTAAGCCCATATTTTTTTGTTTCAATTATGGATGTTCTTATTGGATATTACTAGAGGATGTACCTTGGTGTACATTTTTCACCGATGATATCCTTATTGTGGACGAAGACTAGAGAGAGTTTAGGAACTTGAATTGTTAAAGTCAACATTAAAGTCTAAAGGTTTTCGTTTGAGTAGATCTAAAATTGAATACATTATTAGTAGAGGTTATAACAATGGATGATTAAGTCATTAAAAGGAGTGAACATTTTACTTATCTCTAGTCTATAGTTCAAAGTGATGATTATATATATGTGGATGTTATAATTCAAGCTGGATAGTTGAAATGCAGGAATGCATCCGATCTATTGTGTGATAGAAAAGTATCGCTTAGATTTAAAGGAAAAATTTATAAGATGGTGGTGAGACCTACAATATTTTATGGCGTAGATTGTTGGTCTATAAAAGAGAAGCCTAAAATTAAGGCAAGTGTTGCTGAGATGAGAATGCTCTGATGGAGGAGTGACTTTACACTTAAAAGACAAAATGTGAAACTAATATATCAATGAAAGGGTTGGAGTAGCTCCAATGGTAGACAAGATTAGAGAGAGTTTGTCACGGGGCGGAAGCTAGGGAACCCTAGGGCAGGATTAGGGTTGGTCTAGCTTTGACACCAAATGATGCCGAAGTTAACCCAAATCATGACTCAGACGCGACAAATTTTATTGTTGAAATTCAAAAACTACTCATCCCCTACAATGACACATAAACAACAAGCACGCATACATAATTAGTAAAACAAACAAATAAACAGTTAAATCGAAATAGCTATTGCAGAAAATAGACTAAGCACAAAACAAAAAACAGTCATGGATGGTGCCGGTAAGTGACTGAAGGCTTGCTGGAAGAGACTGCAGAGGGATCGACGTCGACCAGAGGGGCGCCAGATGAATCTTCAACTTTGGGGTGTGGCGGAGATCCGGTTGCGGATGTTCAACGGAGGTAGGAGGGGTGCTAGAGGATCCTATAGGTGCGCCAACCTGCTAGAGAAAGGCTGGGAGGTGTGACAAACGACTGGGGGAAGGCCGGGAGGTGCGACAGCCTGCTGAGGGATGGTCGGGAGGCGCGACAACTTTCTATTGCTATTTTTTGGGAGGCTCTAAGACCAAATGATTCCTGAGGAAACCTAAACCATAATGAAAACATATTATTTTTGAATTTCAAACGGATTGCAAACATGACACTTGAAAAGTAGGAAGTAAAGACAAACAAACATGAACAACGTAAACAATAAAAGATATCTGTGGGTGACAACAAAGACAAAGCCTGCTGTGGGAAGGCTGGGAGGCGCTGCAACCTTATGGGGGGAAGATTGGGAGGCGCGACAACGTTCTGGGGGGAAGATTAAGAGGCGCGACAATCTATTGAGGAAGGCTGGGAGACGCGATAGAGGGAGGAGGCGGAGGAAGTGGTTCAGCGGCTTGGGAGGGAGGTGTGGCTCGTTAGTACTGCTGGAGAAAGGTTTGCGGGAGGTCGAATAGCCTGCTGAAGGAATTGGGAGGGCGACAGTGACGAAGGGAGATACTGGTGGATGGAGTGGACCTGGGATACACAACACCTTGACGAGATACAGCTGAAGCACCACTACACTGAATGATACATGCTCAAATGAGGGAAGACGCTAAAAGGATCACCTGGAACACGAAAAAGCAACAACCAAAAAATTGGTTAGACCAAAGAAGATAGCATGTATAAATAGGGAAGGAGAGGGAGAAAACAAAGGTAAGATCTAAGGAAGGAAGAGGGAAAGAAAAGGAAGTTTTGCAACGGCTAGGAGCAGTTGCAGAAGAGTAGGGCACGGGGGGGG